TTAAAAAAAAAAAAGGACCTGCAGTTAGGGTCCATTCTTTTTTTTTTTAAATTTTATTTATTATTTATTTGACAGAGATCACAAGTAGGCAGAGAGGCAGGCAGAGAGAGAGAAAGGGAAGCAGGCTCCCCACTGAGCAGAGAGCCTGATGTGGGACTTGATCCCAGGACCCTGGGATCATGACCTGAGCCCAAGACAGAGACTTAACCCATTGAGCCATCCAGGCGCTCCTAGGCTCCATTCTTATATCTCAGTCAATTGAATAAGGCTGATTCTGTCGAACATGTTCATTATACATACATAAAAATATAAACAGATGTGAGGGAGTGACATTGGTGATATGTTCTAAACCAATGGGCAACTGCTGTTCATATTTTGTTATATTTTACTCAATAAATTGATATGTATGCATATTCTTATAACTCATGAAACAAAATGGGAATCATTTGCCATTTATAAGTTTAAACATTGATATCCACTTGAAGGTATAATGTTCGTATTTTCATACGGACTATTTTTAGTGAACATCACTTTTAAAGTAGTATTATACCCCAAATTAAATCATACTTGAACTTAGTTGCAAAAATATTACATATTAGTTGTAGAAAAGCAAATTGAAATACACTAAAGAGTGTTTCAATTTTGGAATAAGAACAAAAGTTACTTGTGACCTCTTATTAAAAATGCATTTGGTGCACTTGATTTTTACATACTTTGTCTTGCAAACCATTATTCTGTCATGTCTTTATATCCATTATTGTTATGATTGAGTCATATTTCTATGAACATACCTAATTGTTTCTTTAGGATGGGAATTGCTGAATTAAATGCTCTGAACAAGTTTAAAGCTTTGGTTAACATTTTCTAGGGGTAAATTTTCTCCAGGAAGTAGCCGCTATTTGCACTTAGGGCTGGTTGTTTGAGAGTAACCATCTCACTGTGCCTTTATTCATATTAGGACATATCACTTAAGATCGTTTGCTTCTTTGTTGTATCAACTGAGATTCTTAGGAGAGGAATATGTTTTATTTTATTTTTTAAATTAACTTATTTATTTGAGAGAGAATGTGAGCAGGAGAGAGTAGGGAACAGGGAGAGAGCAATCTTAAGCAGACTCCATGCTGAGCACAGAGCCCAAGACAGGACTTGATCTCATGACCCCGAGATCATGATACGAGCTAAATGAAGAGTCAGACACTTAAGTGACTGAGCCACCCAAACACCCCTAGAGCAGCTGTTATTTTAAAATAGTTTGTGGGTAGACAAGAACTGAATGGTAATATGTAGAATTAGAGAGCAAATAATTGTCAATATTGTAGGAACAAAATAATAAAAACCTCTTACATAAGGAATGAAAATTCTATATCCAGAATGGGTATCTCCCATTCATATAGGTATCTGTTTTGATTAGGGGAAACTAATGAAACAAATCATTTGGGTAATTAAAATGTAAAAAAAATTTGGTTATTTTGAAAATAATAACACACAGACAGTTTTTAATTTAGGCTCAGTCGACATAACAATGCACCAAAAGTGTATTGAGAATGAACATCTGAAATTAGAACCTTAAGCCTTTTTTAAGAAGATATTCAGCTTTCATTAAAGGAAACTATGTAATATAGCATATAGATGTAAATCATTTTCATATTCAGAAAACCTACTGCAAACACCTCACTTTGCTAATAAGAATAGCTCAGTGATGGTCAATAGTATTGATCCATAAACTGGAAGGAAGAACTTCTCTGCATACAAATAAAGTGTAAGTGAGTTCTTGAGTGAGACTGAACACAGGCCCTGCTTAATTGTAAACAGCTGACTTCTGGCGATGTGTTTCCCAACAGTCACTCTATCCATACAATATTCACATTTATTGTTTCCATTAGGATTGTCACTTGGTTCCAAGTTATGTGTACATAAAAAAAAGTTATTGTTACTTCAAAGAACTGCATTTGGATATAACCAACATGGGTTGCTTTTCAATTGTTTTTGAGATTTTTTTTCATTGGGAGACTGTCAAAATAGACCTTTTCTCCACTGTACAAAGGTTTATCACAAACACTGCTCTCAAAGCCTGTTTCACATCTTTGTTCCTCAGGCTGTAGATAAATGGATTCAACATGGGATTCACAAAGATACAAACCACGGCCACAATTTTCCCTTGTTCTACAGACTGCTCATTTGCTGGTCTCAGATACATGCAGAATAGGGACCCATAGAACATGGTGACAGCAGTCAGGTGAGAGCCACAAGTGGAGAAGGCTTTGCACTGCCCTTCACTGGAACGGATCCTCATGATGGTGATGAAAATGAAAACATAGGAGATGAGGATGATGAGTAGGGAACCAGTGAGGTTAATCCCCGCAGACACAAACAGGGCAGTCTGCTTTATGTAAGTGTCAGAACATGTCAGCATGAGGAGGGGTGGGTCAGCACAGTAGAAATGGTTGGTGACGTTAGGTCCGCAAAAGGACAAGCGAGAGGTCAATATTACCTGCATTGTGCCCACCAGAGAACCCCAGAGGTAGGGAAAAGTGACAAGGCAGATGCAAAGTGGCCTGGACATCTCTGCTCTTACAATGCAGGGGATGGCAGATAGCCATGTACCTGTCATAGGCCATGGCACCAAGCATGTAATATTCAGTAAGGAGCAGAGTCACCAAAATAAAACACTGGGCCAGACACCCCGTGTAAGAAATGGTTTTCTTCTCAGAGAGGAAATTAACAAGCATCTGAGGAGAGACATTAGTAGAATAAAAAATATCCACGCATGCTAAGTGGGTGAGGAAAAAGTACATGGGTGTTTGCAGCCGGGGAGTGAGTCTGATTAATGCAATCAAGTTCCCTGTCAGGGTGATGAGGTAAATCAGGAGAAACACCACAAAAAGGATAGGCTGCACCTCTCGTTGGCTGGTCAGTCCCAGCAGGATGAACTCAGTTGCTTCGGTGCCATTGTGTGGGGGAAGTAGGGCCATCTTCGTATTCTCTGATAAGGGAACAATTTTTTCAGGTATAAAAACAGAAATAAATTGTAGACATTTCAAGAATAGAAAAGTAAATGGGCACTAACACAAACCGGTTTTGGAAGGATTGGTTTAAATAGGTTGCTATTTCCTCCAGAGACGGATGGGTTTCAGTAGCTGCCGTCAGGAGGTTGGTGGTGCTGGTCACGTGGACGATATATTTGAAGTCCATACACCTGCTGTGCTGGCTGCTTTGCTGCTCTCACTTTCCCTCGCCTTGAACATATGGAATTTGACTTAGCTCACTGGTGTCAGTAATTAGGCTATAGGATCAGAACCTTTGACACTCAAATGTGACTACTGCTATAGTCTGATCATGACATAAATGCTTCATCAGTCAGTGGGAAGAAGGGGTGATGCTCTGTACACTGATTGTATTGTTGTCTGCAAGGGCCAACCTTTTGTAATTGGAGTAGCCTATACTCTTGAGAGTCTGTTGTACATTTACTGATGTTCGGTTTCTCCCAAATTTCTTCCTTAACCTTCTATAGCATCATAAGTCTCCTGGCTCTTTGGTGATCTGTCCCTTTTTTCTCCTTTGCTCCAAACCAGTCACTTAAGGTTTCAGCTGTTTTTCACCTAATATCATCTTCAATCTCATGGTCTCTATCTCACAGTATCCAATTTATTTTACATTATATATCTCATATTCATATTTCATTTTATCTCCTGCCCTTGACTTCACATCTGATATCTAAACTATCAAGAAGTCTTGTCTGCTGTACCTTCAAAAGATTGCACATTGAATCTTAGAACAGCTTGTCAGCAGTTCCTCTGATACCAGTTAGGTCTAAGATAAAAGTCTCCCTTCAGTCCTTTTTCTCATGCCACATTGTCCTTCTAGCATTTTTGAACATGTTGAATACAATCCTACCTCAGGACCTTTGCATATATTGATCTCTGCTTTGAAAGTTCTTCTACCAGGACTTTGACTTAACTTCATCACTTCATTTAGATGTCTCAAGTTAAGCTCCATACCAAATAGCTCTTAGTCGTGGCCCATGATCTATTTTTGTTCATTTACCACTTCTGAAAGTATTATATATTTACACAAATAGTTTTTATTTACATATATTTTTTGCTTATCCTCCATTAAACTGTTAATCACCCAGTTTGGAGGGCAAGAACTTTATCTGTGCCCTATCCCTAGAACCTGGGCCAGTGCCTGAATCAGTGGATACACAATAACGATTAGTTAAGTAGATGGATGAATCAAAGAGGTAATGGTAACTTTGCCAACTCACATCAGCTGATTTTTTTCATGACGTGTAGATGTCTTACCTCCCTGATATACCAGTGGAGACTGAGTTACTACAAAGATTATAGCTGCCATGTAAACAATGTACAGCACAAAGCACAATTATGGGTTTACTTTTATAACATGAGCTAATGATAATGGTACTACTGACCTAAAACCTTGGAAACTGGCAAAGAAAATTTGGAGGGTGGACTGTTGGAACAGATGGAAGTTGACTCAGGACTGAAAAAAATGAGTTACCTTTAATTTTATAAGGCCAGGAGGATATGAAAAATCCATACCTTTTTTTTAAAAAATATTTTATTTATTTATTTGACAGAGATCACAAGTAGGAAGAGAGGCAGGCAGAGAGAGAGGAGGAAGCAGACTCCCCACAGAGCAGAGAGTCCGATGTGGGGCTCGATCCCAAGGACCCTGGGATCATGACCTGAGCCGAAGGCAGAGGCTTTAACCCACTGAGCCACCCAGGCGCCCCGAAAAATCCATACCTTTTAAAGAATAACTCTACTGCTTATTAAAATAATACATTCACAAATATCACACTTAGATCAGTGGTTATCTATCAACTCTGGCTTCAAACTGGGTTCCAATGTAGAAGTATTGAGAGCACCAGTATTTGGGTCACAGCTGTACTCAGGTGGGGTTCACATATTGGCATTTTTTTTTTAAGAGTTTCTTTCTTTTTTTTTTTTTTTTTAAAGATTTTATTTATTTATTTGACAGAGAGATCACAAGCAGGCAGAGAGGCAGGCAGAGAGAGAGGAGGAAGCAGGCTCCCCTAGAGAGCAGAGAGCCCGATGCGGGGCTCGATCCCAGGACTCTGAGATCATGACCTGAGCCGAAGGCAGCGGCTTAACCCACTGAGCCACCCAGGCGCCCCCATATTGGCATATTTTTGAACAAACTTTTCATATGATTTTACTGCACAGTCAGGGTTGAAGCGCTGAAAGAGACAGTTTAAACTAAATAAGAGAGGTTTATCACATGGTTTTACGCTCTGAGAGTTTACACCTTCCCCTTGCAGAGGATCTTGAGGTATTACCAGAGAATTTACTTATATATAAAACTTGCCACCCTCAATGCACACAAAATATTTCTCCATTAGCATGAAGAAGGAAGTACTCCATCCTCTGACTGTAACCTTGACAACATTCTGTTGATTTTTGGAAGCTTGAAAAAAGAGAATCTTTCCAAGACCCTAACTTAGGTTTTCTTGCATTCAGAAATAGAAGAAAAAAGAAGTAAACTTTCTTATTAATGATTACACCTTTATATTATTTACTACACATAACCCAGGGTTTCCTTTCTGGGGTACACATGGAAAAACGTCTCTTGCAGAACTAAATTTGTTATCATTATATTTCAAATTATGAGCTGAAGTGAAGGAGTGGGAGAGAAGAACTCATGTGTTCTTATTCTCACTAAGGTGTTCAGTGTTTCAAAAATGCCAGCACAGGTCATGTTGAATGGTATCAAAATTTTTTTCAGTCACACATCATACTTCAGAGCCTGCCATGCCATGGGGCCTCCACCAGCTAGATGCATTCCGAGTTGTTAGGAGACCCCCAAACCTTGTCATTCACTGTTTTTCTTATGCCAAGAGAAAGATTAGTGAGAAAATGAGAGGAATGAGGATAATCCCAAAGAAGATAATGATGAAATGTATAAAATCATTACAGTTCAAATAACAGAATTACTGAAAAGAATCACAATTATGCTTAGTGTAGGTAGAAATCAAAGGTCCATGAACAATGCAGGGGGAAGAAAACAAACAAAAAAATTAAACCCAAAAGAATCTTTTCTGAGAACTTTATCTAAATGGGATGCTTCAGCTGAAAAGTCAATAAAATCTATTGCAATGTTGGGAAGGGACACAGTAAAGAAGGAGCACTTGGCTGGCTCGGTGGGTAGAACATACAACTCTTGATGTCAGGGTTGTGAGTTCCAGCCCCACATTGGGTGTAGAGTTTACTTTATTAAAAAAAAAAAATATATATATATATATACATATATGTAAAAACATATATATGTATATAAAAAAAGAAACAGTAAAGAAAAGTGTATTCACCTTTATGTTTATTAAAATGTAAACCTGTTTTGATCATTCCTGGTTATAGTAATGCCATCATATTTAGTGCAAACTTGAATTGGAAAAGTCTATGAGAAGCTCCTTCAAATGAGGAAAGGGAGAAGTTCACATTTTTTTTCTTTCTCACCTTTAACCTTATACTTATTTACCAAAATCCCTTTAAATATTTCTTTTTTTTTTTTTTTTTATGTTACGTTAGACACCATACAGGACATCATTAGTTTTTGATGTAGTGTTCCACAATTCATTGTTTGTTATAACACCCAGAGCTCCATACAATCCGTGCCCTCCTTAATACCCATTACCCTGCTAGCCCCCCCAAACCCCTCTCTTCTAAAACCCTCGTTTGTTTCTTGCAGTCCACAGTCTCTCATGGTTCATCTCCCCCTCTGATTCTCCCTCCTTCATTTTCCCTTCCTTCTCTTAATGTCCTCCATGCTATTCCTTATGTTCCACAAATAAGTGAAACCATATGATAATTGTCTTTCTCTGCTTGGCTTATTTCACTCAGCATAATCTCCACTAGTTCCATCCATGTTGATGCAAATGTTGGGTATTCATTCTTTCTGATGGCTAAGTAATATTCCATTGTATATATGGACCACATCTTCTTTATTCATTCTTCTGTTAAAGGGCATCTCAGCTCTTTACACAGTTTGGCTATTGTGGACATTACTGCTATGAACATTGGGGTGCATGTTGCTCTTCTTTTCACTATATCTGTATCTTTGGGGTAAATACCAGTAGTGCAATTGCTGGGTCTTAGGGTAGTTCTATTTTTAACTTTTTGAGGAAGTTCCACATTGTTTTCTGAAGTGGCTGTACCAACCTGCATTCCCACCAACAGTGTGAGAGGGTTCCCCTTTCTCCACAACTTCTCCGACATTTGTTGTTTCTTGCCTTGTCAATTCTTGCCATTCTAACAGGTATAAAGTGGTATCTCAATGTGGTTTTGATTTGAATTTTCCTGATGGCTAATAATGTTGAACATTTTCCCATGTGTCTGTTAACCATTCATATATCTTCTTTGGAGAAGTATCTATTCATGTCTTCTGCCCAATTTTGACTGGAATATATGTTTTTTTGGGTACTGAATTTGATAATTATTTATAGATCTTGGGTACCAGCTCTTTATCTGTAGTGTTATTTGCAAATATCTTCTCCCAGTCTGTGGGTTGCATCTTTGCTTTGTTGACTCTTTCCTTTGCTTTTTATCTTGATGAAGTCCCAGAAGTTCATTTTTGCTTTTGTTTCCTTTGCCTTTGGAGATGTGTCTTAAAAGAAGTTGGTGTGGCCGATGTCAAAGAGGTTACTGCCTATGTTCTCCTCTAGGATTTTGATGGATTTCTGTCTCACACTGAAGTCTTTCATCCATTCAGTGTTTATCTTTGTGTATGGTGTAAAAGAAAGGTTGAGTTTCATTTTCCTGTATATAGCTGTCCAGTTTTCCCACCACCATTTATTGAAGAGACTGTCTTTTTTTCCACTGGATAATTTTTCCTGCTTTGTTGAAGATTAGTTGACCTTAGAGTTGAAGGTCCATATCTGGGCTCTCTGTTCTGTTCCATTGATCTGTGTCTGTTTTTGTGCCAGTACCATGATGTC